TTAGTCATAGTAATAGCTTAAAATCTTTTGACCCACAAGTCTGGCAGTGCTGTCAGGTTAAAGGAGATCCATTATTCAGTACCAGCCATAAAGTACTACATGTGCACTAAAATATCACATTGGCTTTATTAAATGTATTCATGATAAGTGATATAACAATAGTGCTTATTATTCAAAAGGATTTTTATTTTTATTTATTTAGTTTTTAATAACTCTTTGCATTGTTGATTCTTTGTAGTGTCTTCTTAGTCTCAGTTGCATTAACTTTTTCTCTGATCTTTCTGATTTCTTCCTTCATACAAGCTTTGGATTTGATCTGCTCTTCTTTTTCTAGAAGGCTGAGGTTCAAAATTAGGTTACTTGTTTGCCCTTGGTCTGTTTTTCTGATATGGAAACTCAACAATATATTTCTCTCATAGCCCTGCTTCTATTGCATCCTTTATGTTCCAGTATGTTGTGTGAGCATTATCATTTAATTGTAGAAACTAATTTATTCTTTAATTTTATCTGTGACACATTGGTTTTTCTGGAGGGTGTAATTTAGTTTCTGTATGTTTATGAAGTTTTTGTGATTTTTTTTTTTTTTTTTTTTTTGTCTTTTTGAGACAGACTTCATATGCAGTTTAGGCTAACATTTGCTCACTTTGTAGCCCAGGCTGGCTTTGAACTCACAAAGGTCCTCATGCCTCAGCCTTCTAAGTGCTGTGATACAAGTGCGTACCACCACACCCTTTATGGTTTGTTTTGCCATTGATTTCTAACTTCATTGCACTATGGTCTGATACCATGCACAAGATAATTTTAGTTCCTTTTAATTTACTTAAACATGTTCTATGAGATAATATGTGGACTGTTTTGGAGACTTTCCCATGTGCAGCTAAGAAGAATGTGTATTCTGATGTGAGTTGGAATGTAGACATCTACTAGGTCCATTTGTTCAAAAATTTGTGTCAGCTGCAATATTTCCTTGCTGAACTTTTGTCTTATTTGTTGTATCTATTTGTGACAGTGAGGTATTGAGATCCTCCATTATGACTGTATTAGTGCTCATTTGATTTTTTTCATATCCATAGTTGGATGCACTGGTACTTGTTGTGTATATACTTAGGACTGTTCCCTTTACAAAGAAGTGGTGACCTTCTTTGTCTCTTACTCAGTCTCTACTTCTCAACTCTTTTTTCTGGGCTCCTGTTGCATAGAGTGTTGTATTCTATCCTTTAACTTTCTGTCTCTGAATTGCTTTTTGAATTAACTGTGTTATATGCAGCGTATTATTGGATCTTGCTTGTTGATCTATTCTTCCAATCTTTTTGTCTTTTTGATGTATTGAGATCATTTACATTTATGATTATAACTGATATATCATTGTCATGTTATTATTCCTATTCTTGCTTCCCTTTTTGTTCCCTCTATTCAATTACTTGCCTTGCCTGGATTTATTCTGTTGAGATTCATGGAGCTGTAGTTTTCACTGACTCTTTCTAGAATGTCTTTCAGAATATTTTGGAGTGCTAGTTTGGTGATCATAAATTTCCTTAAATGTTCTTTATCATGGAAGTATCTTATTTCTCCATTAGTTTTGAAAGATAGTTTTACAGGGTATATCAGTCTGGGTTGGAGGTTGTTTTATTTTAGGCCTTGAAATACTTGAAGCTTTCCTTGAACATTTGTGTTGTGAAGTCTCCTATGATTCAGATGAGCTTTCTTTTATACGTAATTTGTTCTTTTCTCTGTTTAATACTGTGTTCTTGGATTGAGTTTCTTGAATCTTGTCTATTGTATGCCTTGGTGTAGATTTTTTTTTTTTTTTTTTTTTTAGTCATAGCTAATTGGAGTTCTGTATACCTCATCTATCCGTTTGTCAGATTTTTCCCCCATGTTTTGACTGTTACTTCTGTGAACAAATTTTTCATGTCATTTGTGCTATCTCCTGCTGTTTCATTGACTCTGATCAATCTTATGCTATTCTTTTTGACATCGTCTAGCAGCTGTTGGATAATTTTTCACGGCCCTATTCTATTTTTTTTAAGAAATCCTTTTTTGCATCATCACTAACCACAATCTTGTCTTCTATATCTCATATTCTGTCCTCACATTGGCTCATACTGCTATGGATACTTTCAGTGGAATTTTTAATATCCTGAATATTTGTTTGAGTCTGTTTTGTGGATTCCATTTTTTTATTTTTCCTTTTCTGGATGTTCATGTTTTCAATCATTTTTTTCTAAACTCCTCTATTTTTAAATCTGTGTGTGCTCTAGAGTCACAAAGCACATCTTTCATTATGGTCACCATCTCTGTAACTGCCTGAGAGAGTATTTCTGATTTGATGTTTTTCCTAGAGCCTCACTCATCTGCTTTATAATTTCTGCTGTTATCACTTCAGGGACTCCACAGGGGTGGCTTTCAAATTGTTCCACCTCACTGCCTCCTGCATTTTCCTTTGGTGACCTGGAAGTCTGTCCATCTTGCTTAAGTATTTTCTCTTATTTACATTTAATTCCTGGGTTGATGCTTATAAATTGCTTATGGCAGGTAACTTAACTGCTAGTATTTAAAACCCTAAGAAATGACTACTTCTTCTCAGAGATGTCTTCCAGGTTTAGCTGGCTTTTGGGTTTTGAGTCTGTTACAAGATCTTACCCATGCAATTTATTGGGGATGAGAAGTTGCTGCCTATTTGGCCTAGTCCCTGGTTCTTTGGCACTAATGTGTAGTACTGTTTATGACATTTACACTTTCTCCATCTTGGCATACCAGAAAGAATATCTATCAAAACAATTATGTTACTTTGGCTAAGGTACTACTTTTTGTTGTAGTACCATCAAGAATAACAATAGCATCCAGTGCAGCCTAGAAAATAACAAACTGTGGTAACTTGATTTGCCACCAACCACATGAACTATATTTGTGGTTATGTAACAAAATCTCAGACAGAAAATTGTATATATGCCTTCAACATGGCATATTTAGCCTCAGTGGAGAAAATTTTAAAGGGTTTAGGGGTAAAGATAGAGAAATAGAAGAGGAAGAAATTAGAATCAAGTATGAAAGACAAAGGGAAACTGGTGATGAAGACAGGAGAGGAAGAAAAGAAAGAAAGAAAAACAAGAACAGAATGACAAGACATATAAAACTGTTCACACAGAAAAACAAGATCAAGAAGAAAATTAGTCCACTTCAGGAGGTGTCTCTGCTGAAACAGAGTGAGCAGGCAGATCCCAGAATCATGTTGATTAATCCCAGCAAGCCAACTATAGAGTTACAAGGAGTGGTGGACAATCGCAGCAAGCCTGCACCTTTAATTCCACTGAAGTTCAGGCTACTTTCTGGCAGTGAGGCTGGTATCTAATTTACTCTGCTTACAACACTCTGTATACCTCTTGCCAACTTGAACTCAGCTCTTTGACCTCCTTCTAATTTGAACTTGGTTCTGCCTCACCCTGGCACTGGGAGCTTCCAGATGGAGCCAGCCCACAGCTTCTTTGAGTTCTGAACTATGTTGGCCTTTCTCCAAGATGGCTACTGGCCAGTCACTTCCCGTTCCTGAAGGACATGTGAACCCAAATAACACACAAGCCACTAAGTCCACTGTGTCCATTTCACTGTTGTGTTTCTCCATGGAGTGCTATGCATTCTCCAGTCCCTGTACATTGCAGGTTCAAGTCACCAGACCCATGCGTTGAGTCAGGGCCACCTCCCTCTTGCACTGAAATCTCTCTTTTTGCTTTCTCTTTGGGCTCCAATTCTCACTTCAGATCTTTTCTGGGTCCTGGGGACCCACTTCACTCCTTCTCTTCCTCATGTTCCTGTATTCCAGTATCTGGACACCAAATCTCAGAGGCTATTCCTTTGCTGTTCACCACTACACCATCTTCCCAGAAGTTTTCAAATGTAATGTTTTTAAAATACAAGTACATTTAAAACACCCAGAATTGGGGCCGGGGAGATGGCTGAGCAGAATAAGTGCTTCCCTGTCAAGTGCAAAGGCCTAAGGTCAATCCCCGGGTCCACAAAAATAAATAAATACCCAGAATTATTTTCATATTACCTGTTTCTCATTTAATAAGAATTTCAGCTGGACACATGGTGCACACTTATAATCCCCGTATTTACAGAGGCTAGGGCACAAGGATTGCAAATTTTAGTTCCTCCTGGGAAACCTCATGAGACCTGACTAAAAATACATATTTTTAAAAGGTTGGGTGGAGCCTGGAAATGTTGCTGCAGATGTCCTAGAGTAACCCTAGGTTGAATGTCCCATACCAAAAATAAACAAACCCAGAAGTTCTTTACATGTATATGATACATCAAAAATTTTAAGTATTATCAAATAAATGCCATTGTTTGGAATTCTGTCCATAATTAATTTATTTATCACTTAGGACTTTCTTATTTCCTAAAAGGACCCCAAATAACTTACAAAAAAATATGTATGTGAAAAACAAAATAAATAAATAAAAATATGTATGTGCATTATCAGATAAATATGAAAATATAAGGATAAAATACTGAGCTGTGTACAAATACATGGCTGTTCTGACATCCAAAGCTAAAAGAGAAACAATGAATTCCAAAGCTTTCAGTTTCTGAAAAAGGGAACAAAACACTGTTTCTGTTATCTTTATTCAACAAAACCACAAAATTTTAAGTCTAAAACTTAGTTTTTTTTTTGTTTTGTTTTGTTTTTAATTTATGTGTGTGTGTGTGGCCAGCTCAGCCCACCAGGGGGCGGGGCTGGCTGACATATGGTGCTGTGGGATTGAACCGCGGTCCCTGTGCTTTGCTAAGCTTGTTTTAAGTAGGTGCTTTAGACCACTGAGCCATCTCACCAGCCCCTATTTTTTAAACTGTGGAGAGATTTTGGGGGCAATATTTTTATGCTTTGTGTTTTGTTTTTTTCCTGTTTTTATATATGTTGAACTTAGGAAATATCCTATCAAAAAGCTGCTTGATCATGGTATGCTCAAGCTAACTTACAATATTTCTATCTTTTACAGTACACCCCTGATCATGTAGTTGGACCTGGAGCAGACACTGATCCCTCACAGATAACCTTTCCTGGATGCATCTGTGTCAAAGCGCCCTGTTTCCCTGGAACTTGCTCCTGTCTCCGCCATGAAGACACCTATGATGATAATCTGTGCCTTAAACATACAGGTTCAGAAGCAGAGTATGCCAAGCCTGTCTTTGAATGCAATGTCCTGTGCCAGTGTGCTGACCACTGCAGAAACAGAGTGGTCCAGAGGGGTCTCCAGTTCTACCTGCAGGTGTTCAAAACAGATAAAAAAGGCTGGGGGCTTCGTACCTTGGAACTTATACCAAAAGGAAAGTTTGTCTGTGAATATGCTGGTGAAGTTTTAGGATTCTCTGAAGTACAAAGAAGAATTAGCCTACAAACAAAACATGACTCAAATTACATTATAGCCATTAGGGAACATATTTACAATGGACAGATAATGGAAACATTTGTTGACCCTACCTATATAGGAAATATTGGAAGATTCCTAAATCATTCTTGTGAGCCAAACTTGTTGATGATTCCTGTTCGAGTTGACTCAATGGTACCTAAGTTAGCACTTTTTGCAGCTAAAGACATTTTGCCAGGAGAAGAACTCTCCTATGACTATTCAGGAAGATTTCTTAACCTAGCAGACAGTGAAGACATAGAAAGGCCAGATAATGGGAAACTAAGAAAACCTTGTTACTGTGGTGCTAAACTGTGCACTGGTTTCCTGCCTTATGACAGCTCATTATACTGCCCCTTAGAAAAGCCGAACATCAATTAGGAATTCTCCTCAGTGAGAAACAAGAGGGAACCAAGCCTGTGTGGCCTCCTGGCTTCTGGGTTCACCTTCTGGGAGCAGTTTGCCCTCCAGGTAATTCTGCTGTGTAATGAGCAGTGCTGCCTTCCTGTAAGGGAGGCTACTTGGTTCTCAGCCTTGCCTGCACCTTCATGCATATGTTTAACTCAAGAATGTGGACAGCCAGATAACTCAGTGAATTAAAGTGCCTGCATAGGCAGACATAGGGGCAAGGGGTTCAATCTCCAGCCTGCTGTGCCAGCCCTGTCCCTGAAGTCCTGAGACAACAATTGAGACTGGGTGTGGTGGTGTGCACCTGTAATCCCAGTTCTTGGGAGGCTGAAAGTCAGGAGGATCATGAGTCCAATCTGTGTAGTGAGACCTTATAGACCCTGTACAAATACATTTTAAAAAAAAGAATATGAGATAGATTCTGAGTTGTCCACCAATAGTATTTTCCCCCTATTATAATAATTCTCATTTTGTTCTGGTTGTGTGACTACCCAGAATACTTACTTGGTTATTTATATGTGACTAAGTGATTTGTGTTCTAGATAATGAGATATAATCAGAATTAGTGTGTGCTTCAGTGGAGATAAGTTGCCCTTCCTTTTTGGTTTCCTTTAAACTGGAGTGCATGCTTGATGGCTGGAATGGAGATAACAATTCTGGACTCCAGGTGACCCTGAGAAATGGTCATACATGGCAAATCAACAACACAGAGAGGAGTGTAGGTCTCTGATACTCTAGAAATGCTGCTGGACCTGTTCAACACTTCAGAACCTTTAGAAGAGAAATTCTGTATCCCTTGTTTAAACTAGTTTTTTTCACTTATACCAAAGCTAGTCATGATTCAAGAAAAGCCTTATGGCTACATAGCTAAGCCCACTTTTATCAATTATAAAGCTGGTACTCTTTTTCCTTTCTGACTCCCACATCTTATTCATTTCTAAACATCAGTTAAGAAAAAGTCATGATTAATTATCACTTCCAAAACTCTAATAATAACATCAATGCTGAGCAAGTAAATGACAAAATATATATATATATATATATATATATATATATATATAACATCAGTGCTGAAAAGCAACTATAAGAATAAGTCCTATGGTATAAGAGTTAGAAAAGAAAACAGATTGTAAAGTTTTCACCATGCACTGGCATTACTCCGAAGCTTGTGAAGTCATGCTTCAGAACTCTAAGACAACCTTACTTCATATATTAATATCACGTAACCCTGTTGTCAACATAGGAGATGGGAGTTTCATAGCACATTTAAACTTTAAAGAAGAAAACATCTCTAACTGGCTTCCTTAAAGCAAAGGTGTTGCAAAAGTATAGTTTCTATGGAAGTTAATGAGACATTTTGAAAGAAAAGCAATTGAGTCCCTTTAGTATTATTTAATAATTCCATTTCTTCTATAATCTATTAAGCCTCAATGTCTGGCATGCCACCATGCCCAGACTCAGTGGCTGACTTAGTGTCCTGGAGCAGGGGTGTGGGGAGGGTTGAGTCCCAGTCCCTGCACTTGCCTAAGCAGGCACTTAGTCCACTGAGCTATCTCACCGGCCCTATTTCATATATTTCAAAGGGAAAATTTGTTTAAAAATTTTAGCAGAGGAGCATATCTTGCTCATTATCTTATTTGCCTCTTTCTAGAAATATAAAACTCATCACAGTACCTGTTGTCTTATGAGTCTTAAGCTTATTTTATGTTAATAATTATTTCTGAAACTTAATTGTAAATGTACACTTGAGAGCATTCTCATGTTGGGTTTAAGGCAATTCTGGAAAGCTCCCCATGGATCCTCAAAGAAGAGCATTGATATCAGGTGTATCAGCTGGTATGACTAGTGATCACTTTCATCTCTGTAAACACTGGAACTAATTGGTTTCTCAAATCTGCCTCCCCACTGACTGTTGTGGTGACCCCATTATTCTGGAGTCAGTTCATTTTTCATTTACTCCCAGCATACTAACTTCTGTCTACTCACTACATGCCACTTATTTTGTTTGCAATACATAATAATTACATTTATTCATTCCAACTTTGTGTAAGGCAATTTGTATACCTCACTCCAAAGTGGCCTTTCTTCTTACACGTTCTAACACATGGGATACTTCAACAACAAGGAAATGGTCAGAATGAAAATATTTGGCTTGTGGTTTGGTTCTGGAGAGATACTACTTTTTCACTCCTCTATATTGAATATCACTGTCGGTGATCCAGGGATATTTACTTTGTCAGAAGAAAAACTGAGAACCATTGGAAGTTTTGTCTTCATGCACTACTGTATTCTTAACTAACACACAGCACTAAACATGATATTCCTAAAATTAAACTTACTCTATTTTTAGGGCTCTTGTCTAGATGTCTCCCCCCCACCACACCGAAACCCACGTAGTAATAGGTGGGCTTTTCAGAGGTGGATGTATCTAAAGTGTGCGATACTGTGGAAATCAGTGTGGAGATTCCTCAAAAAACTAGGAATGCAGGTCTGATTTTACCCAGCTTCTGGGTGGGTATATTCCCAGAAAATTCAAAAACACTGTACCTGGGGCTGCAGAGATATCTCTGCAGACTAAGTGTCTGCCTGGCAAGTGCGACAACCCAAGTTCGAGCCCTGGTACCACATGCCTTACAGGCCCCAAAACTGGGTGTGGTGGTGCCTGCCTATAATCCCAGCACTGAGGACGCTGAAACAGGAGGATCACTACAAGTCTGAACTACATAGCAAGAACCTGTATCAAAATAAATAGTTTTTTAAATACTGTACCACAATGATATATGTGCACCCATGCTTATAGCAACAAATTTGTTTCCTCCTTGGAAACAAACCAAATGCCCATCAATGAGGAATGGATTAAAAAACCCAGTTTTATGCAATGGAGTACTCCTGAGCCATAAGGAAAGATAGATTTGAGACTTTTATAGGTAAATGGATGCAACTTGAGACCATACTTATAAGTGATGTAAACCAGAAGCACATGTGGAACCATAATGTCTGCCTAGATGAGAAGCTAAAAGAGCAAATAAGACCCAAAATATACAGTAGATCTTGTGAAGTGGGAAGAAACTACTCAAAAGGGAAGAGAAACTGGGATGGAGGAAAGGAGAAAAATGGGATAGGAAAAGAAAAAAAATAATATATACACATAATATATTATATATTATATATACAAGGTACTTCAGATAGTTATACTAATTTCTATTTAATTGAAAAAAAAAGGTTTGTGCTAATATTGTTTGACAATTAAGTGCCCATATGTTGTACTTTGAGTAACTCATTTAAAGATAACAATATTCAATGTATTAATAAGCATTGTCACCCTCCTATTATCTTATTTTGAAATTTAAGGTGTTTTTTTCTCTTTAAAATTAAAAAAAAAAAAAAAAAAAAACATGTGGCCAAATAGCTCAGCAGATGGGGCCAAGGGTTCGATCCCCAGGCCTGCCGTGCCAGTCCTGCCCCTTGGGCACACTGGGACAGCAATTGAGACTGGGTGTGTTGGCGTACACCTGTAATCCCAGCTCTTGGGAGGCTGTAAACAGGTGGATCACTAAGAGTCCAATCTAGTAGTGAGACCCTGAACATCCTGTACACCCTTCCCTAAAAATATAAATAATAAAATAAAATAAAATAAATGAAGCGTATGATGCTGGGATCAGAGATGCAGTGCCCTAGGGGTGTGTAGCCTGGGCAGGGTATAAGAGATGGAAAGAGGCGTGTCACTCACCACTTGCTGCTTGGATTCTTCTGCTTTCTTCTGCTTCCACAGGCTGTTTCTAGAAGCAGAAGGCCACCCCACCTTGGAGCCAGCTGATAATGCACTGAAATATCTACGAATTGAGCCAAAAACAAACCTTTCCTTCTTTAACTTTGTATGTCCATTATTTTGTCTCTGCAACAAAAAGTAATTAAAACATTCTAATCCCTCCCCCATCCACCCTGTGCTATGGTTGAACCCAGGACCTTCACACTGAGCTGCCCTGGCCCTTATTTTCTATTTTAAAACAGGGTCTCGCTAAATTTCTAAATTGTTCAGGCTGGGCTTAAATTAACTGCTTTGGGCTCAGTCTCCCGGAGTAATGAAACTACAGGCATGTGTAGTTTCCTACATCCCCTCTGCTTGTGGACATAGATGTATGATACTATTTATTTTCATTATTGTATGGATTTAAGAAATGGAATAAAAAATGATACAGTGGTAAGTAGTTTATGTGATAAAATTAATTAGTTCTCTATGATAACATATGAAATACATGTTTGAGTATGCTGTATAAATTTCATGATTTATTTTACCTGTCTCAGCACAGTGAAGATTTCTCAAGTCAAAACTGATTGTTAAAAAATTACCAGGGCGTGGAGGCACATACCTATAATCCTATCACTTGGAAGGCTAGGGCAGGAAGCTCACCACAAGTCCAAGGCCATTCTGAGCTACACAGTAGTTCAAGACTAGCCTAAACTACACTTACTTTTGCCTCAAGAAAAGAAAATGACAATGGAAAAAACTGTCAAAGAGCTAAACTAAAAAAAAAAAGTCAAATGACATGTGTTAATAACTATGTGAAAATCTTGCTTATAACATCATAAATTACAATTTTGTTTAAAGACAAAAATTTTATGGAAGACATACGTAATTTGTGAATCAAATAGTTCATTATTTTATTACACATCCAAATATTAGCTGAATTGGATGCCCAGGTATGAGTAAAAACAATTAAATTTAGACACATTCAGTGCTTTTGCCAACTTTCAGTCACAGAAACCAAGGATTTATACATGGTTTTCATTTTTGTAGTTATGAAGACATTTTCATCCAAATAGGAAAATAGCTCTTTCTCATCTTGCAAGATGGTGAGCGAAAAAACTGAGAAACCAGACACTAAAGAGAAGAAATCCGAAGCCCAGAAGGCTGCTGCCAGTGGCACTGGTAAAAAGGGTAAGGTGAAGGCAAAAAAGTCCAAGAAGCGGAGCCCCTTTGCAGTTGAAATCCTGTCCTGGTTAGAGGAATTGGTAGATACTCCCAATCTGCTATGTATTCCACAAGGCTTTGTAAAAGAGAAAGTGCACAGCCACTAAATCAAAAGTTGAGAAGAAAAAGGTGAAAGTTCTTGCTACAGTCACAAAACCAGTTGGTGGGGACAAGAATGGAGGTACCCGGGTAGTTAAGCTTTGAAAAATGCCTCGATACTACCCTGCTGAAGATGTACCCTGAAAGCTCTTGAGCCATGGCAAGAAACCCTT